GATGGACCAGACACGTGGAGAATTCCGCTGCCTCCCATGGCCTAGGCAGCTCGCCGCGACTCTCGGCGCCGTGGGACTGCCAGAGCTCCGTCCAGCCGAGCGCCTCCGCGTCCACCGCGACCTGGGGGTCCGCCAAGTCGAGGTTGGTGTGGCCTCGAGCTCCTGTCGAAGGCGCCGTTCCAGGCCTCCACTTCGACAGACGATGAATGAAACCTGCGCCTCCAGCTGAGCCTGCATGAAGCCGCTCGCGCCAAGCCTTAGCCCGCTGCCCCTGCAAGGCAGTCTCCATGGCCTTGGCCTCCGAGGCGGCGCGCCGCTGCAGCTGCATCGCCTGCGGGGCATCCGAGCGGAGGCTGTCGCCTTCCCAGGCCAGAGCCGCGAGGCGCAGCAGCTCGCCGTGCGTCGCCTCCGCATCGTCGCCCAAGGCCGCGCACCAGCGTGAGGAGCCATGGGTTAGTCGCCTATGCAGCCTGCGCCAGCGACTGGCCAGCGGCCCCCATCCCTGTCGGCGTGCCGCGTCCGCCAGCAGGACGAGGTCGCCCACACGCGCTGCCACCCAGCGCCATGCTCGGGAGCGCGTGGTGCCTCGCGGCCTCGCATAGGCCAGTGAAGCTGGCGCCAGGGCGTGTCCAGCTGGCCATCCGCGCACTGGCCCAGGGGCTGGATGTCTGGCCAGGCGGTCTGAGGACGGCTCCGATAGCTGCACCTGGTGGGGAAAACGCTGGGCTTGACCAGGCGCCAGCCCGTCATGGCTCTCACTGGCGCGGTGGTCATGATGGTGACGGGGCTATGCGGGTAAGTAGCCGCGTCCAGGACCGTGGCCTCCCCGAAGGCATGGGCGATGCGGGAGTCCACCACGAAGAAGCCAATGGTACGCCCACCGCCTCGCCCCTGGCACGTGGGCTCGGCGGGCGCCAGGATGACCCCCCCTGCGTCACTGCACCAGCCTCCCGCCAGGAGCGACTCGGGCGTGTTATTGAAGTCGGCCTGGAGGATCCATGGAATGTCGCACGACCTGACGATCTCCCCGATGGCGTCCAGGAGAGAGAGGTTCCGTAGCGCCCAGCCCTCCGAGTCCCAGAAGTACGCGGTGAGCACCATCAGGCCGCCGCGCAGGAAGCCAGGAGCCCAGGCGGCAGCGGGTCGCCCTGGGGAGCCTGGCGGCGAGAAGTCGTAGGTGTTGACGCCCTCGAGGAAGGTGAGCCCCAAAGCTCGCGGGGCCAGGAAACCGACGCCTGCCACGCGTCCTCCTCCTGGGCCTGTGCTGGCCTGGGCAAACCCAACCACCAGGTGACGATCAAAGCAGGACGCACTAACTTCACCGATGTAGTCCTTGGTGAGCTTGTGCTCCTGGACGAAGGCCAGCACGTTGGTGCCGAGCGGGTGGGCGTCCAGGTAGTCGAGGAGAGAGCTCCAGGAGTTGGCATTGATCCCCATGCATATCATACCAGGCTTGTATCGCGCACCCTTGCCACGGGTGCGCGCGACCGTGCTGCTGGCCGAGCAGACGCTGCGAGTGTCGACGCTGTCCGTGCTCTGCAGGTGGCTGCATTCAAAGTTGACCAGCTCCAGATCTGCGTGGGCCTGACTAAGCCCTCGACCCTCCGCGAGGTCCTCGGTCTCGTCCCTCATGGCGTCGCGGTGGAAGCCCCACTGCAGCAGCCACTCTCGAGGGTCCGTGTAAGCCAGGTTCACCATCCATGCGGAGTACCGTTGACGCTGGCGCCGCCTGCGACGAAAAGCCTCCACGCAATGTCGATCGCCATGTCGATTCTCGCCTGGGACATGGTCACGCGCTGCTGCTCCGCTCTTTCGACGACCAGAGGATCCATGCTGGGGTGCTCCAGGAAGCGGGCCACGTAGGGGACGCATGCTCGCCGCCAGCCGAGCTCGTCCATCTCCTCGTCGATCGTGTGCGGGTCCTCGAGCCAGTGCCCTGTGTAAGAGCGCAGCCTCCGCTCCAGCGTCCACTTCCTGCGCAAAGCTCTGCGCCGTTGTGGGTCCTGGTCCTTCGGCTCGGGAGCTCGCCCCCATGGCGGGCTCCTGGCTCGCTCGAGTCGCCAGTGCCCTTCCTGAGCGGACCCCGCGGGGATGCCCGCGTCCGAGCGCACGTCGAACGCGAGGCCGTGGTAGAAGAACTGCACCCGCTTGCTCTCGCCGCCGTGCTGCAGCTTCGGGCTCGGGTAGGTCCCTGGCGGCATCGGCGCCGATGATGTCGGGCGCCGCCCGCGTCCGCGCTGCAGTCCACGACGCGATGGCCGACGATGGACGCGAAGGACAGCGCTCCAGGGCGGCGGGGCTACCCGCGGGGCGTGGTCCTGGCCTCCTGAGGCCGAACCTTCATCGCTGCTCGGGAGCCCCTGGAGGCTCGGCAGCCGCTCTGGCCAGGATTCGCCCCCGCTGGGCAGGGTCCATGGGCGGTCGACTGACCCCTGAGGGCCCTGCGGCAGGACGGCCTGCGCTTGACCCAGCAGGGTCAGCAGCGCCATCAGGACCCGAAGCAGGAGGGGCCGCTGGCTGGTCCTGGGGCCCCGCGGGCTTCCCCTCACCTTTTCCTGCACCTTTGGCGGCAGCGGCGGCCGCGGCTGCAGGATGCGCGCCTGCTGGGGCAGCTGGCTCCCCTTGCGCAGGCGCTGCAGACCTCGGCCTCTTGGACTTGAGGCGGTCCTGCATGCGCTGGAGGTCTGCGCGCATGGCCTTGAGGCCCTCCGCGGCGGGGCCGAAATGCTTCTGCACCTCGCCGCGCAGCTGCGTGACGAACGTGGCGATCTGCTCCTCGAACTGCAGCTTCTCGGCGTCGCTGATGTCGAGGCCCTCGAGGTCGAACAGCTCCCCTGCCTGAACCTCCAGCGCCCCCGACTCCTCCGAGAGCAGCCTTGAGAGGTCCAGCGCCGCGCCGCCGCGCTCCGCTGCTGCAGCTGAAGCGTCTGGCGCCCGAGCGTCGCCTGGCGGTGCAGCCGCAGCGTACGCCTGAGCCGCAGCCGCCTCGGCGCCGGCGACCTCGAGGATGGCAGCCTCCTGCTCGGCGCGCTTGCGTGCCAGCCACTCCTCCGCGTCCGCCACTGCCGCGACCGCGGTGCGCAGGGACGCCTCGGCACGGCGAACCCTGGCGCGGGCCTGGTTGAGGACGACATCTGGGTGCTCCGACTGCGGCGGCCCGAGCGCCTGCGCCAGCGCGTCGACCTGCTGCACGACCTCGGGGCCTCCACGGACATCAGGCTGCTGCAGTGCGGTCCGCAGTTGCCGAACAAGCTCGTCTGGGGCGGGCAGCTGGGCCTGACCACCACGGCGCGGGCGGCTGTGTCGGCGAGATCCGTCCGCCCATGCGCCTGCTGGGGCCCTCTCCTGTGAGCGCGCAGGCTGCAGGCCCTTGCCGCACTGGTAGCACGAAGTGTTCGAGCGCCAGTTCCAGCGGTCCCCGCACGCGTGGCACTTGACGTACTGCGAGTGGCCTCCAGCTCGTTCGCCCTTCTTTCCATTGCCTCCCATGCGCAATGCGAGTGCGGCGAGCTGGCCCGAGCACGGGCGAAAGCAAAACTGTTCCTCCCTCGGAGGACCGCGGTGCCAGAAACCGTGGCGGCCAGGGCCTGGCAGGGGCTGCCCTGCCGCCACGGCGCGCCTGAAGCCAGACAGGCTACGGCGCCCAAGCCCCCTTTGGCCCCCCCCAGGGAGCCAAAAAGGACTTGAGCCAAAATGGCTAGGGAGTAGGAGGAGGAGGAGGAGGAGGAGGAGGAGGAAGAGGAGGAGGAGGAAGGAGGAGGAGGAGGAGAGGACGAGGAGGAGGAGGAGGAGAGGAGGAGCGCAGGAGGAGGAAGCAGGAATGAGGGATGGAAGAGAAGGAGGAGGAGGAGGAGGAGGAGGAGGAGGAGGAGGAGGAGGAGGAGGAGGAGTTCCGTGTTCCGCTCCTCTGGAAACGCCCTCAGTGGACCGCAGACCGCGCGTCCACGCGCGCTGGCTCGCAAGCGCAGAAACACGGAGGCATGCGCAAGCACATGCCTTTGCACACAGACAGAGAAGGGGCGGCCCCGGGACTCCCTGGCCGTGGTGCCGAGGCGTGCCCAGTGGATCAGACGAAGTCGGGGCGAGGATCAAATGGGGGGAGGATAAACGCGAAGTAATGAGGGGGAGGATAAATGCGGAAGACCCTGAAGGCCTCCCTTGGGGCCCTAAAGGGCCCCCTTCAGGGGCCTCACTGCGCGCCCTCCCAAAATACATCGGGAGTCTCTGAGATCCTCTGGCTCTGGAGGATGTTTCGGGCGCCGCATCCTTCTCTGAGCGTTCCGGAACGCTGGAACGCTCTGGAGCGGATTTATCCTCGTCCTAGCCCTGTCCGAATGGAGCAGATGGACCGTCGCTGAGACGAAGCGCCCGGGTGGCACCCCCAGCGCAGAGCGGTAGCGACTGGGTTGCACTATTTCGGGTGACGGCCGTTACCCAGGAGTGTGGAGAGGGGGTTGGGACCCTGGGTAACGGTAACGCTTGGGTGGGGTGGGGCACGTCGGAGCGGAAGGCGCTGCGATTGCCAAAAGCGCGCGCGAGCACCAGCATGTGGGGGGGTCCAGCCCCCCACCCTTCGTACGATCGTTGCCGCTACTCGGGGGGCAGGTGGGCCGTGGAACAACCGTTACGCACCAGAGGATACAGGCTGCGCGCGGCCGACGCGGTCGATCTCGTGCAAAGGCGCCGCTGAGACCCGAAGGACAGGACTGCACGTGTCCGCGCACCCTTGGAGGTACCTTTCGAGGTTGCCTACGGTAGGCCTCTGAATAGCATGAGCTCTGGAGCGTATCACACCCATGGGAAAACAACTGGCATTCTCACCGACATCCGCGATGACCGCCAGGTGTACAGCACGCAGATACACTGTCGCTATCAAAGACAAGGAATTTCCGAACCAGGCGGATGCATTGCATTCGCCGAGCCTGCTCATCGCTGAGCAAGACCTTCTCTCGACTTGACTTCGCCGGGAGGGCTCACGCGGCTCACTGCACCCACGACCCTCAGGCAGTCCTCACGCACGGTCCAAGTGACCCGTACGGGCCGTCCGGCTGACATGGCGCACCGCACCCTGCGTGGCCTGAACGAGCCCCGCCCGCCACCGGACACCCATCCCGCTTGCCTTGGGGCCTGTGTAGCACGCGCTCCCCAGATCTCACGCGCTGCGGACCGACAGCCCGACACCGTGCCGTGGGCGTCCGCCACCGTGTCTGGAGGCACGCTGGGGCGTAGCAGAACGCCCGGCCCACTGGCAGCGTATGTGCTGTGCTTCCATGGCCGGCCCCCCCCCCCCCCGCACACACAGACACACACACACACACACATCCTCGACGCGCGCATCTGGAAAAATCGGCCCCTTTTAGTTTGCTGTCCAGCTCTGTTTTCGGGCCCCAGACAGCTCCAAGACAGTGACGAATGGTCTAGTAGAACGGCTGCAAGAAGCCCCACTGTAATCGAAAGACTGTCCAAAGGGCCCCGAAAGGCTCCAATAAGTCCCCAAGACGCCCCAAGAGGCCTTAAGAAGCCTCCAGAAGGCTCTCAGAGAGGACTCCAGCGAGGCCGCGGGAAGCGAAACACATTGAACAACCAAAAGAAAACCAAGTATATTGCTCCCGAGGTCCTTCGGCTTCAGATCTCCTCGGGAAACTGCAGAGAGCCCCAAGGAGCCCCCAAGACGGTCCAAAACAGGCCCAAGAGAGCCTCCAGATGGCCCCAAGACTTACAGTCGACCTTGCGAGAGGACACAAGACCCTTCCGAGGGCCACATCGCCATTGCAAGCAGGCACGTGTCGCGAGGCACAGGACACAAGGGTACCCTTGAGCTGGCAGGGTCGACCTACTAATCCGGGCCGACGGTACAGTCATCGGCCTGACCTAAGGAACGATACATAAGGAACGAAGCCCCTTTTTTATCCCAAGGAATAACGCATAAGGAACGATAAATAACAAATAACGCATAAGGAACTGTAAATAACGCATGCAAACCTAAGGAACGACCGAGCCTTTTTTGAAAAGTAAGTGTTCCTTATTCAAGCCGCTCACTGTACCGAGAACCCCCCAACACGTCCCAGGAGGGCTGCAACACCGAGGGACCTGCGCACCCCCTCCCTCTGCAGGACGATCGAGAGGCAACGGCAACAGTGATAGGGGGTGAGCCTGCCGAGTGTGCGCGCGCGGGGTCTGACATCACACGCGCACTCGCACGGCCCTGACCGCGCTGCAGCCCGGCAAGGCCAGGCAGTGAGCGCGGGCAGGCGTGCTGGCGGACGCGCCTCGGCGGCTGGGGAGTTAGAGGCCTCCTGGATGGGGTCCGAATAGATGGGGTCGGACGATCTCGCCGCATCGCCGATGCATCGGCAATGAACCGCCGATGCATCGGCGATGCATCGGCCATGCACTGGCGACGTCGGCGATGCATCGGCGACCTTGGCGTGTAGAAGATTGGGGCCCGCATCGAGCCGCATCGCTGATGCATCGCCGATGCATCGGCGATGCAGCACGATCCTCCGACCCCGTCTACTCCGACCCCATCTAGGAGGCCTAGAGGTGTGGCAGGCCCCCGCGTATAGGCAAAGGGGACACCTGCTCCTAACACGAGCGTGGCCACCTCAGGAGCACCCCCGCTCTGCCTGGGACATGACCCTTCCCATGGACGGCTGCTCGGTGCAGGGCTGAACGTAAACGGTGTTTTTCGTTTTCGTATTGTTTTCGTGTTCCATCGCTTTTGTCTCGAATCCGCCTTTACCGCAAAACGAAGTCGAAACGAAAACGGCCCACGAGATCACCAAAAACACCGTTTAGGTCCAACCCTGGCTCGGTGCTCGAGGTAGGACTGGGGGCACGTGCCAAACAGTCGCCAGAGACATGACCCGGCACCTCTCTCTCCGCCTTCGGGCAAGCTGGGGAGAACGGGGCACGGCGGCAAAGCGCGGAGCACTGAGCACAAAGAGAACTCTCCTCGGTGTACGCTCGCAGTATGGCGCGGCTCACCGGTGTGTCGAAGCAGACGCACCTCCAAGACTCCTTGTCGCTGTCAGGAGGCTTCGAATAGCCTCCCGCTCCCAGTGGCGAGGGCGCGCGCAGGAGAAGCCGAGGGCTGACAGGGAGAGACAAAGAAGAGGTCGTGGGAATGTCCACGAAGAAGGCGTGCTGAATGACTGGTTGGTCGATTTCCTGGTTCGAGCTACGGTGAAGGCAGTGGACAAGGGAACCATCGGATCAGGAATCCAGAGCCTGGAAGTCGGCGGAATTCCAACATTGAGGCTGCGCCATGGGTACTCCAGATTTCGTAATAAAAGGGAGGGGGTCTGGACCCTCCAAGACAAGCCATTTCAGACCTCCCCCGTGGGAAAACCCTCCAAAACATCGTCCCCAGACCCCCCAGGCCCTCCAAGATAGCCTGGAAGAGACCCCCCCCCGAAATGAGACCCCCCTCCCTTTATTACGAAATCTGGAGTATCGCCACAGTCCTCATCAGATAAGGAATCATCCGGGGCCCGAAGCCTCCAGGGCACACTCCTCAACGAATGCCCCCCCTCCGTACACACGGTCTCGCCTAGAGCACACGCACGGACGTCAGGCACACGCACAGTCGCAGGTGGAACTCCCTGCATGTTTTTGTTTTGCACTGCACTTTGCACTGCTCGGGATTCGGTCCCGACCGCCTTCTCTTTGCCTACATGGGGAGTCCTCTTCCCATCAGTTGGGAAGCTTGCAATTTTCATCATCAGGTGTTTGCGCTGAAAAAAAAGGAACTCCCTGCATGTCTGTGCCGCTGACCTTTCGTAGCCCCGCTTCTGAACAACGGAGATCGGGGCAGCGTGATAAGCACACTGCCAAACCATACGAGATGCATTGGTCCGCGGCACTGCTGACCTGTGTGAAGTGGTGCTTCGAATGCTCGCTTCAAGCCCTGCGTCAGTTTCGTGCCTGAGGCCTTACGACAGGGAAGTGCTGCACAAGCAGTGGCGAGATCAATCATCACGAAGCGCGCATAAGGTGTCCAGTATCTACGTAGTTGTGTCCATCGCAGAATTGACAAACACGCTCAGCATTCCTGTACCAGCTAAACAAAAACTTACACTCTATAATCTTGAGCCAGACGTGGCTGAGCCACTACCCCAAACTGCATTTAAGCTACGAGTATACAGACACACACGCACAATCACACGCTAGCATCTTGATGACTTATGTAGTTCGTATTTTTGGTCTGAGCTCTGGTATCCTCATCCCGGCGGACAAGGTTCGGTGCCACTCGAGCACGGGGAAGTGAGTCTTCGAGCTGTGCATCCGCGGTAGCTCTGCAGCCCCCCTGACAAAACCCGCGCGCGGCCGCAACAGCGAATTTGCTTCGGTGGAGGAGCGGCGCCTAGATGTGTCACCCTGTCGACACCGTCGGCCGCTTCCTCCTCCTCGTCCTCCTTCCCCTCCAATCCCTCCTCGCCAGCACCATTCAAAGATCACAGCTCGATGCCGCGTGGCGGACACCGCGACTGCCCAGAGCAACTAGGGCTAACTACAGCAGCCGCTCGCCCGCCGCGAACGCCAGGTACATCGCCTTCTCCCGAGCCCCCTTGCGGAGCTCGTCAAAGAGCTCCGCGTGCGCCCTCCGCACGTGCTTCTCCGCGAACTCGGGGCCGCGGAAGAGCTTCCGGCACTCACTACACCTGGTCACTCCCACGGGGCCCGCATCCAAAATGATTCGCATCTCGGGGCACGCATTTTTTACTCCTGCCCGCAATTGGGCGTCGCTTGGTGGGGGGCGATACATGGGGGGGCAGCGAGGGCTGCAGAAATGGGGCCCTGGAGGGCCCCAAAAGGGGCCCCAAAGGGAACCTTTGGGGCCCGAAAGGTGCACCTTTCTTCCCCCCATTGTTCGGTGGCAACTCATGGGAGCCTCCCATCAGTCGACGTTAATCGATGCGTAATCGACGCGAACAGACGCTACATCGGCGCTATCTCCTCGACTCCCAGACGCTAGTCGACGCTTAAGATGGAACTGAGATTGTGGATGCCACGACAATGGGCACCCTAACAGTCCTACCATTGAGCTTAAGATGTGTTTAAAATGTCGGAGCAATGTTCTGAGAATGTTTAAAGCATATGTTTTTATATATCTAAAAACATGTTTGAACCATCCTTTAGATTTCTGGAAACTGTTTGGCAGCACGCTTCCTCTCCATCGATCGACTTCCACAGAGCCGAGCTAAGAGGGCATGCCAGGCTCTCATGAAGCTGCCACCGAAACATCTACCGCAGCCCACGAGGCGCCGCCCAGGGCCTTCCGCACCAACTTCCGCCGGCGAGGGCGCCTCCTCGGCCTGCCCCCGCTGGCCTCCGCTGGCCTCCCGCCGAGGACGGGCCGTCCCCCCCGCGAGCCCCCCTGGGAGGCGAGGCCCTCTGTCTTCAAGTCGGGCATGCCCTCCTGCAGGCGGACTTGATTGGAGAGGACACGCGAGAGGACACGAGACCCTTCCGGGGGCCACGTTGCCACAGAGATGCAGGAGGCATGGGTCGCAAGGCACAGGACACGGGGGTAATTGCCCTTGATCTGGCAGGGTCGACCTACTAATCCGGGCCGCCTGTACAGGCGGATTTTGGAAGGAAAAGGAAAATGAGGCATGGTCAAAACAAAATGTTCAAGCATAGCTAGGGAGAATCGAGGCATCGTCACCCGCCTATGTTTTGACTACGTGTGGAGATTCCACCTGTACAGGGACATGCCCGACTCAACATTTGTCTGGCGCGCGCCGGTCCTGTACCTGCCCTCGGCGAGCTTCTCGGTCCTCTCCTGGCAGAGGAGCACCACCTCCCGCTCCGCAGGCTCGCACGGCTCGGCTCGCTCCAGCCGGGCCTCGCCGAGGAAGCGTGCGATCGAGCGCTCGCGCGCCTCCTCCAGGCTGGAGTCCACCGCCTCCCCCTCCTCCGCGACGCCGCGCAGGACGACGGCCCCGCAGTTGCGGTACAGGTCCCAGGCGTCCTCGCACCAGCGCGCAGAGTAGAAGCAGAAGTGGTGCACGCGGCGCAGATAAGTGACCTGCACGTCGAGCTTCTTCTCCGAGGAGCCCGCCCAGCCGAGCACCGCCTGCGTCACCTCGCTGGGGATGCCCATCAGCATGTCCAGATGGCGCACAACCTTTGCGGACAGAGCCTGTCGGCTGCTCGCAAGAGTGGCTCTACGCAAGACAAGGGTGTCCTTTGGGGCGCGGCTTCAGTGGCGGGGGGGTGCACGCAAGTACGAGTGCAAAGCCTGCCCAGACTCGTTCGGGGCGAACCACGCCAGGGGCGGAACGGCGGCCGGAGCGTCATGTGAACCCAGCTTCCTCCTCCTCCTCCTCCTCCTCCTCCTCCTCCTCCTCCTCCTCCTCCTCCCTCCTCCTCCTCCTCCCCCCTCCTCCTCCTCCTCCTCCTCCTCCTCCTCCTCCTCCTCCTCCTCCTCCTCCTCCACCAAAAGGCCACTCTGGCGAGAGGCCACTCTTGGAGTGCCACCGGAGCCTCCCCCGCGCCCGCGCGGCCCTCGGGCGGCGCAGCCGGGCAGACGATGGCGCGGAGCCTTGCTGCGGGCTCCAGCAGCGCAGGCACCCCGGCGCCCGGGGACGTGGCGCGGAGGACCGGTGCGGCGGCGCGAAGCGCTGCCGCCGCCAGCGCCGGCGTCTCGAAGCGCGCGAGGACATCGCGGGCCGCGGGCGAGGAGGCCTCGCCCGGCGAGGGCCATTGCCAAGAGAAGTCCACGAGGCCCTCGAGCCCGCGGAGGGCCTCGAGGGCGCTCCAGGCGCTCGCCGCGGCAGGCACCCCGCGGAAGATCACGGCGCCCACGCCTGGGTCGAGCGCGAACGCCGGAGGCTCCAGGTGCCCCGCGACGTGGCACTCGGGGGCTCCCGAGGTGAGCGCAGCCTCTGCTTGGGGCGCCGACGCGCGGAGGCAGATGCCGTCGTAGAGGCCACCGCGCAGCCCGCTGGCGAACGCCGCGGCCCTGCCACGAGCCAGCGCCAGCCGGAGGTCCAGCCGCCGCAGCACGGCGTGCGGGTGGTAGAGGTCGTTCAGGAGCCCCGGCGCGCCTTCCTTCATGAGCTGGAAGCGGCGCCTCGCTGAGTGGTCCCGCCACATCGCGAGCGCCTGCGGGGAAGTACAGATGCCGCTGCTCCCCGGACCTCTCCCGTGGTGGGTTCTGACCAGAACTTCGAGGCGAATCCAACGGTGGCGACGAGGGCATCCCAGCCAGGAGGCCCCACAAAGCCGAAAACGAGGCAGGGGCCGCGGCATCGGTATACGGTATACCTTCTCCTCCTGGGAGCCTCGTCCGCGGTGGCGGAGCCGTCGACATGGTCGCGCACGAAAGCCTGAAACGTCATGCCCGCGGGCGACCCCCGCCGGCTGGGGCTCGCCCCCCGGGCCTCGGAGCTGCTGCCTTCGGGTGCACGCAGGAGTGACCCTGGGAAGAAGGGTGACCTTCGGTGCGCGGTTTTCGAGAGCAGGAGGTCGACTACAACATTGATTTACCCCGAACTTGGAATTCTCATCGAATCGACGAAAATCGTACAGAAGGTTCGCAAATCTACGAACATGATACGCACTTTCCTGGTAGATTCGACGAGGAAGTCCATTTGGGGGTGAATCAAGTCTGCAGTCGATCTGCAGTCGACCTCTGAGAGGCCGCGGGGGAGGGGGGGCCAAACACAAGCGCGCAAGACGCCACTGGCCGCCCCGCGGAGATCGGGGGGCCCCAGTGGGCCCGCGCCCGAGGTCACTCCGGCGACAGCTCACTTCAGGCAGGGACGACCGACCGTTCCGGCATTCCTATGGTCCTACCACGACATGTTCGTACAACCCAAACATAGAACAACAACAATGTTCTTAGAACGTAAGCCCGATGTGATAAAACAAGACAGTCCCAGCCAGAAAGTTCAAAAAACATTCCGTGACAGCCACAAAAGGTGCCTAGAACATTCTTTGGTAGGCCTATAGGCGAGCCAGGACGCTTGGCCACTGCTTGGCGTGTGCGTCGATGCCTGCGGGGCTCCAGCGGGCCGGCTCCGCGGCCCGGCTCGCCGAGCGGTTACTGGCAGGGCGGCCCGCGGAGCGGCCGGCCGGGCGGCGGCGGCGGCGCCGCGCGGGCTGCGCGCCGCTGGCGGCGGCGCGGCTGCTCGCGGAGCAGCCCCTCCCCCGCTGTCCGCGGCTCCGCGTGTCCTTCTTGGCCACCCTCTTCGCCTTCCTGCTGGCCCCATTCGCCTTCCCGGCGACCCTCGTCGGACTCCTGCCGGCCTTCCTGCTCTTCCTGGCCCTCTTGGACCGCCTGCGGGGTTCCGAGCTGCTGCTGCTGCTGCTGCTGCTGCTGCTGCCGCTGCCGCTGCCGCTGCTGCTGCTGGTCGCGCAGCGGCCGTCGGAAGCACCGTCATCTCCCCTTTTGCCCTCGAGCTTCTCCTTGGACGCCCGAAATATCCAGGGTAACTCGGGTCCGGGGTAACTCGGGTTCGGGTTCCCGAAAAACGAACCCGAGTTAACCCTGACCCGAGTTACCCCTGATGATTCGGGGCTCTGATCTCCTTCGAGGGGGCACGGGGAGCCCGCGAAGAGGGCCTGGGCGCTCGGCGCGCGCCGTCGGCAGCGGCATCCCGGACAGCCTGGCGCTCCTGCTGCCGCGCCCCCGCGCGCCCCGCGGGGTGATGCAGGTTGCAGTGCGGGCGCCTGCAGAAGTAGCCCCTGTGGCACTGGGGCTGCACCGCGGGTGCGGTGCTCTCGGAGACCGCCTTCGTCACTGCCGGGTGGTCGAAGGGGCAGTTCTCGCGGGTGCAGCTCGCCCCGTGCCAGCACGGCCGGACGTTTTCCCCGGCAGCCGCGCGCGAGCCCGAGGCACCTCGGCGCGACCGCTGCGACCCTGAGGAGGACCTGTACCGCTGCGTCCTCCTGCTCCGGGACCTCTCCTTCCGCAGCTTGAGCACCCTGCCGCCGGGGTGCCGGAACCAGCAGTCCGGCCGCTTGCACATCCTGCCGTAGTTGCACACCCTGCCCGTCTCCCCCATCCGCGGGAAACCCTCGCCGTCGCCCACCCGCGCGCGGCCGTCGGGGTGCGTGTACCAGCAGTCGGGCCTGCGGCACGCGTTGCCGAACCTGCACTCCACGCTGCGCGTCAGCGTCGGGGTCCCGCTCCTGGGGAGGGGAGAGGGGAGGCAAGGACCAGGAGGCACCGATGCCGCTGCCATGGGGGCGGTGGCAGCGGCTCGCTCTTCGCAGGGCGAGGGGAACGGAACGGAACGGAACGGAAGTCTGCGTGCCAGCTCCGGTAACCGGAGCGGTCCCCTAGAGGGCAGACCGTGCGCTGAGCATGTCGGAAAATGAATGTCGGCAACGAGCACACGCAGGAAAATGCGATGAACAATTCCCCTGGCGAGGGGAGGGGCGGCCTTCTGCGAAGGCAGGGCCTTCTCCCCCATAGCGTTCCCCCCCCCCCCCCCGCTTCGCCCTCCCCCTGCCGCTTTTTCCTGGCGCCTGACGCTATCACTGTGGCGCAGCGTGGGCCCCTCCCGGGAGGCCTCGCTCCCTTGCCCGTGGACCCCCAGACCTCGGGGGCGGCCAAGAGGGGCGCGTCCAAGACGGGGGGGGGTGCACATCATGGGCGGCGGCACGTGCGCGGCCTCATGAGGGGGGGCCAGGGGCGGAAGGAATCAAGAAGAGGCGCCACGAAATCTGGGGAAATATCATGGCCCACGCCATGAGATCCCACCCCCATAGTCATCACCAGGGGTGCGTTCTGACCACGAGCGCCGGGGCGCATGCCCAGCCGTGGCGGCGAGGGCCTCCCGGGAGACGAGCCGCCGCGCCGCCGCCGAGGCCCCGCTGCTCCCCGGACCTCTCCCGGGGGGCGCAACGACCAAGAGGCCGAGGCGAATCCCAGCGGCCGGAGGCGGCGAGGGCTCCCCAGGGCGAGCAGCCGTCGATGGGCCTGTTTTCCACCACCACCACCACAAGTTGGTTTGGGGGGGAGGGAGGAGGAGGAGGAGGAGGAGGAGGAGGAGGAGGAGGAGGAGGAAGAGGAGGAGGAGGAGGAGGAGGAGGAGGAGGAAGAGGAGGAGGAGGAGGACCCCCTCCCCCTCCAACTTGTGGTGGTGGTGGTGGTGGTGGTGGTGGTGGTGGTGGTGGAAAACACGCCCATCAGCCGTGTCGGCATCTTCTCCTCCTCGCAGCTCCGGGAGCGCGGCTTCTGCTCGGGCGCCAGCGCCCCACCGGCACCCCGCTTCCACTTCCACTTCTGCACCGCACGCTGCGGCTGAGCCGGCCTGCCCAACCGCACGCTGCAGGGAGACGACGAGGAGCGCTCCGTGTCGCCCGCGGCAGCGTCGACGCGCTTGGGGCCCAGGTCTGCCACCTGCGCAGAGGGCATCCACCACCACGCCTGGTCAGGGCCATCCTGGGCCCTGCAGAGGGTGCATACCCTGAGTTCCTGGCGTTGCATAACCTTGTCGAGCAGGCGGCGCAGAAGTCCGCCCGGAGCACCATGGGCGGCAAAGGCAAGGGCAAGGCCGCGTTGTCAGCCCCGTGCGGCTCTGGCGAGGCGAAGGCTTCGCAGTCCACGCTGGGCGATCTTGCCTCGTTCGGCCCCCGGGGCCATCCCAGATCAATCCGGCCCGAAACATGCCGCAGAGAGGTGTGCTGCTGCACTTGCGATGCTGAATCTCTTGGCGCCGTCTGCTCTCCGGTGATGCCCTCCTGGCCGAGGCCAGGAGGGTCCAGACACCATCCTTCGGCGGTGGACAAGCCTCGCTTGAGTACACCTGGCCTTGGTGAAAACGGCCTGGGACCGAAACCGACGGACCTGGACCCGCAAAAAGGACGGCCGCGACGCCCTCTCGTGCACCGAAAACGGCCAGATACTTCATCGACGTGTCAGGGTAGGAGGTCTATCTCGGGAGCGGCCAAGAGGGGGGTGTCCAAAAGGGGGGGTGCACATCATGGCCGGCGGCATGTGCGCGGCCCAGGTTGGGAGCCAGGGACGTAATGAAATACGAAGAGGCGCCATGAAATCTGGGGAAATATCATGCCCCCCGCCATGATATCCCCCCCCCCCAGTCATCACCCCCCTCTTTTCCGCCCCCGACTATCCACCTCCGAATCCTGGGGCCCGGGGTGGCACCGGCCAGAGCGCACAGATGCCTTCTGCGGGCCCAGACCCCCGACGTAATGATCTTTTCATTACGTCGACCCCCAGAGGTTCCGACCCTTTTCCCATGACCGGCTTTGCATCCTGAGTCGCTTTTTGACGCTCCCGAGGCCCGGCGAGGGCCCCCGGAGGCCGAAAATCAGGCAAGAGCTCCCGGCATGATTTTTTCACTACTCGAGGAGGTCTGCGGGCCACCTGGATGCCTCGCTTCAGGGCCCGCGACTTCGCGGGCGGGGACTGCGGCACCTCCGGCGGGGCCGGGGCGCAGGCAGAGCGCGGGCCGAGCGGCATATATCGCTCCGGCCGCGGGGGGCCCCGGGCGGCGGCGGCAGGGGCGCGGGCAGGGCCGAGGCGGGCGCGCGGGCCGTCTGGAGCGGCGTGAGCTTCGGCCCCGGTGGCTTGGGCCAGGGCTGCGGATCGTGAGTCCCGCCAGGCCTCCGCGCGGGCGCGGCCTGGCGGACCCCGCTCTTCCGAGCCCTCTCGTCGTCCTCGAAGGGGGCTATTGCCCTTCCCCTGCCCGCATGGGAGATCGGGAGTGGCGCGGCCAAAGTTCGCCCGAGGCGGCCCCGGGCATACTCTCAAGATGCCCTACGCCACACTATGGTTCGAGATGGCATCGGAAAGCTCCCCAGGATGCCCTCGAGAGGCGGATCGAATTGACTCATCTATCCGCCACCTAGGGCTCCCAACTTCGCGCTTCGCGCTGCGCGAAGCGCGAAGTGCGAATAACTTCGCGCTCTCGCGCCGCCCTCCCAAAGGGAGAAGAGGAGGACGAGGAGGAGGAGGAGGAGAAGGAACGAGGACCGCGAAGCGCGAATAACTTCGCGCCCTCCTGGGAGCCCTTGGTGCTAGAATGCCAGGTGTCTGGTAGGGCCCATGCAGCTTTCGAAGGACCGGCCCCCTCTCCCGCTCGCACCCCTTCGCAGGCGCCGCCCCCTCCTCCCGAGGCAGCACCTCCTCGCGGAATGCGACAGGTTCGCGCTTCCGAGGCCAATGTGTCTTCCTTCCTGTCTCGTTCGTCTTCTTGCTCCTCTCGGGTGTTCTTGTCCGCCGCCTCCGTTGCCTCATTTTCGCCGCTGTTGTAGCCCCTTTTTTCTCGTGCTGCCTGCGCTTGGCCTGCACTTTCACGACTTCTTAGACGGCGCGCAGCTCCCTGCGTCGCTCGCGATCAAGAAGCTTCCGAGGCCAAGGTGCCCCCAAGACGGCCCAATATCGTTCCAAGACGGGCCACTTCTTAGGCCTCAAGATGGCCCAGGATGGCTTCGGGACGGCCCACGAGGCTGTCGTCCCCAGGGGGCCTCGAGAGGCAAGAAACATTGATTGCCCCTAGCTTGTTTTAAGTCGGGCCTGCCCTCCTACAGAGGGATTTTGGACGAAACATAGAAAATAGCCAACAACATGCCCCAAAATGGTCAACAAATACTAAAATTATCCCGGCAAAGCAACCTAACAGCGATGTGTAGAAGCATATCTGAAAGCATTCCCCTTAAGATTCAGATGAAAATCCAGTTGTAGAATTCTGCTGTTCTCGCAGTCGTAGTCGCATTCGCGATGACAGTCGCAGCGGCAACGGCAGTCGCAGTCACAGCCTCAGCCTCAGCCTGCCTCAGCCTCAGCCTCAGCCTGCCTCAGCCTCAGCCTGCCTCAGCCTCAGCCTCAGCCTGCTTCAGCCTCAGCCTCAGTCTGCCTTCAGCCTCGGCCTCAGCCTCAGCCTGCCTCAGCCTCAGCCTGCCTCAGCCTCAGCCTCAGCCTCAGCCTGCCTCAGCATCAGCCTGCCTCAGCCTCAGCCTCAGCCTGCCTCAGCCTCAGCCTCAGTCTGCTTCAGCCTCAGCCTCAGTCTGTCAGCCTCGGCCTCAGCAGGAACTCGAAGAGCACGAAGTGGCCTACAGTTGGCTCCGGGCATCAAAATGTGGCCCGGGAATGGAGTTCTGGGAACTCGAAGACCACGAAGTGGCCTACAGTTGGCTCCGGGCATTCAAAATGTGGCCCGGGAATGGAGTTCTGGGAACTCGAAGAGCACGAAGTGGCCTACAGTTGGCTCCGGGCATTCAAAATGTGGCCCGGGAATGGAGTTCTGGGAACTCGAAGAGCACGAAGTGGCCTACAGTTGGCTCCGGGCATTCAAAATGTGGCCCGGGAATGGAGTTCTGGGGACTCGAAGACCACGAAGTGGCCTACAGTTGGCTCCGGGCATTCAAAATGTGGCCCGGGAATGGAGTTCTGGGAAGTCGAAGAGCACGAAGTGGCCTACAGTTGGCTCCGGGCATTCAGAATGTGGCCCGGGAATGGAGTTCTGGGAGGTCGAAGAGCACGAAGTGTGTGACTGTTGGCTTAAAACGATTTCTGCGGCACCCTGTCCGGCACCCGCCCAGACCTCCCTGTGGAGTCATCTGCTGCTCTCTTTTGACACCACTAGAAACCTATCAGAACAAGCTGTTAGGTAAAAACAGCCCCCAGGCTATTTTTGACTATTCTTGCATATCCTTCCTGTAGAGGGACCGGCCCGACTTAACCCTAACTTGTTTAGTGTTTTTCGGGTTCTCACCCTGTCAAGCTTCCGACGTCCCAAGACGACTCAACAGGCCACCAGGACTGCCCCAGGGACGGCCCAAGAGGCCCCCAAGACGGCCCAGGCGGGCTCCAAAACGGCCCAGGAGCCAAGGGGCGCCCAAGAATGCCCAAAGAGGGTCCCCAAAACGGCCCGAAGAAGAGCCCAAGAGGGGCGAACACGAGCGGACAATAATTCGAGCCTTCCGCCGCAAATGTGCTCAGGATGCCCCGCCTTTTCGAGCTTCCGACGCCCCAATACTACCCAAGAGGCCACCAGGACTGCCCCAAGACGACCCAAGAGGCTCCCAAGGGGGCACCAAGACAGGCCAAGGGGGCTCCAAGACGGCATGAAAGGCACCCAAGACTGCCCAAGAGGGCCCCAAAACGGCCGCAAGAAGGGCCCAAGAGTGGGAACACGAACCAAGAATATGAGCCTTCTGTCCCAAGAGGCCCCCAGCAGGCCCCACTGCCTTCTCGAACAGTTGTCGCCCAGAATGCTGCGCTGGCACGGTGGCGGAATTGCTGGAGGCAGCCGGATAAAATTGAATAGTGTCTCTTACGTTATCGACTTTTTGCTTCGGATAACCCTCCGATGCCCCCAGTTAGCTTCATGATGGCCCAAAAAAACACCCAAGAGAAGCCCGTTCGGATGGTTGAATGAAGCTTCCAAAAGACAAGTGTTCGGGCTCGGGGATCGCTGGATTATGTAACTGGCCTAACCATCTTAGTTGGCCTGGATGGCCACTCAATCCATGCTCTCCGCATGTTGCTGCTTTTCGACATACATCTAAGAACGCTTCAACACTTAACTCGTGCCGGTCTTCACGGCTCAGTGGAAGGCGTGTCTCGGTAGATCGTTGCGCCTGGGTTGCCGCCAAGCCAACATCAGTCCACAACCACACAGATTATGTAGGAGCCTTTCTTGTGATGACGAGCGGGGGTGACGAACAGCACACACACACATTGCGATGCTCGGCTCCTAACGTCGGCCAATCACACATGAACCCAAACAAGAACGTGACGTTACACAGTTCGCAACCAGCCGGCTCGATACAATCCTCCTCACCATCCTGCTCGTCCATGATTTTGCCTTTTCCTCCGCCTCATTTTCCTCTCCGCCTCCTTCCTTGCTTACCTGTTTGCCAGGCGACCTACCAGTCTCTGATACCTAAGTGAGCTTCTGTGCAAGTCAATGCGATACGCAAGAACCGCAACAAACATTACGTCACGTTCTTTTTCCATCCTGCCACACACTACGTTCAAAGGAACGTCGTCGGCGATCGAACGACAAAGAAAGCGCATAAAGTGAACCACGGCCATCGCCTCACACGCAGTAGAGCTGGGAGTGCCATATGCTGGACATCTCCCCCGAGCCATCGTTGGCCATCCTCCCGGAGAGCTTCCGCAACAAACAATCAAAGCAATCAGCTCCCAAAGGACCGCGGAAACCGCCCTCAAAACTGAAATGCACGTATGTCCCAGTCAGTCGCACGTGAGCTCAAATGTCGATCGCAAGCTTGTCGAATTCAAAACCTTCGCCTGCAGGAGCATCAGCTTTTGAGTTGTCGTCCCTACACACTTGATGATAACATGTACCGTGCGCCTGATGTGGCAGCAGTGAGGAAGAACCCAACGCGAGGTCAAGACAGTTTCTGTGCGTCGTGACGGCCGTCTGGCACGGCCTGTACTTTGCACGCCACCGTTCTTTGAGCCAACAAATGACGCGCATATTGTCGCCCGTGATAGCCAGGCGCAGCGCAAGCGTGGTCTTCAGAGTGCCCCAAGAAACTGTCCATGGACTGATCTGCCTGGGTCGTTTCCGCTGGGACTCCGTTCCAAGACGGCCCGCTGTAGGGGCGCATTGGTCTTCCAACTCCCGCAAGTTGAGGTTCGAATGCGCTTTTGCGGTGAACCTCCCTCTCCCCCGTTGCCATTCATTCGGCTCGCAAGCGCGCGTTTCCCACTGCACCCCGCAGGCTCTCATAGGGTCGAGCAGTCCACTGCGCTCTGACGCCTGCAACGCCTTAGGAGCCTCCGATGGAGTCATCCATAGCAGAATTTCTTGCGAGGTGGCCTGCTCGCGAGCGACTGCACATACAGAAAAACCCTGTCCCGCATGTGGTGGCCCGATCTGGAATGTCGCCACACGTTCGCTCTGTGACGCCCCATCTCACCAAGGGCCTGCACGATTCTCCTCCTTTCCCGAACCCCTCCAGGCAGCGCAAGCAGGCGAGACATGCAGGGTAAGCTGCGATGGGCTATAAACATGATTCAAACGACCACCCGAGATTGAAAATGGTTCAAGATGATTGGGAACAGAGAATTCATGCCACCTTGATGGTAAGCTTGCCGCGCTCTCCGACTCGCCCGCTGCACCCAAAGAGAATATCCCCCATCCTCCCGCCGGCCCCACCTCAGCATCCGCCTCAAAATTTCATTTCCCCCTGGATATCAGAGTGCGCGCGAGTCGCTGCAGGGAAGCCACCCCGACGCGCCGTGTGTTGCAACTGGTACTATCTTCGGCAAAACTCGGCCATGCGCTTCTGAATGTGGGTATGTCTGCAGAGGTAGTACCACGAGTTTGCCCAACAAGCTGACGATGCCTTGGCCAACCGCCGCCTCGCGGCAGCTACGTGATCGGGGCGGGGTGCCAGCAGGTTCCCCAATGCCTCCATTTCTGGAACGCTCTCAACATG